TACAAACACGAAAAGATCAGGTTTTTCACGACTCTTGGAGTCGTTTTTCTGCAAACAAAGTATTCAGCCAGTTTTTGGCGGTGTAAATAAATAAATAAATAAATAAATAAATAAATTTTAAAAAATCATTACGGTGCGATTCTGAAATTAGTTGGAAGAATGCAAAAAAAGCAAATCTATTATCGCTCCGAAATGATTTTTTAAAATTGATATCAGCTGTTTTATGTTCGCTTTCGTCACGAGGAATTACTTCGAAAGAAGTTTTTTTTATTTGATATCAGTTGTTTTGTACCCGAAATTTTTTTTCAACAAAACCAACTAACACTAAACAAACACAAAGTGGTGTGTATTGAGCCAAAGAAAATAAAACATGAAATGTTGTAGTTAAAAACCATAAATGCCGGAATACCAAAAGACAGCCAATGACATCTCTAAACCAACTTATTGAATCATCGAATATTTCGATCAACTTTTTTAAAATCGTGTGTGGCTTGAGTTGAATATAATCAACTTTACAACGACACTAGCAGCTTCTCTGCACGTGCACACATATCGTAGAAGAGAGTACAAAAATCATAGTATTTTGGCAAATGCATCGAGTAACCATTGCGAAACATCAATAAGTTTTGGCTAACGCGTAGTACCGGCCCACAGAAAAGCTGTTAGCGTCACTGTAAAGTTGATTATATTCTAGTAAAGCCATACACGTTTGAAAAAAGTTGCCGAAAAATACAATGATTCAATGAGTTGGAATTGAGATGGCATTGACTGCTATGTGTCAAATGACTTACATTTAAAATGTATTGTGGCACTTTCCCTATGTTAAAAACCAGCATTGTCACCTTTTTGAATAAAGCAAAATCAGCGCGAAAGCAGACTCATGGGCGTGTGGACTCGAGTTCGAGTCGCACACCGGAGGAAAAAAAATTAAAATTTTTTTTTTCGTTAAATATTAATTGGTTTTTGGACAGACAGACGAAATTACATTTTGTTTTGATGAAATTACATATCGCTTTTATACTAAGAAACTATCACATGTTTAGTTTTTTCATGATGAATTTTTTTGATTTTGATTTATTCATGAAAAGTGATTTTTGTGTTTTTGTTGATTGCGTGGAATAAAAAGACTTAGTGAAGGACTGGTATCTGAAGGAATTTTATTTATCTGAACGCAAAATCACTTTGGTTTTGATTTTGCCCTTATTCACGGCAACAAAAATGAGTTTTAGTCGATTTTTGTCGATTTTTCATGTTTTTTCCAACTTCTAATGGCTATATCTCGAAACACAGAGTTTTGCCAGATATAAGCTATATGTCAAATTTTAGCTCTAACTTGGGGCTAAATTCCGGAGAATTTTTTAAAAAATCGTCGGAGCCGTTTTTGAGAAAATGGCCGATTTGTGCAAGGCCAGGTGACCATTTTTTGGGTTTTCAGCCCATAAGATCATGCCAACTCAATTTTTTCAAATCAAAATAGATGTCATTTGATAGTTGGCCTCAAGACCTTTCCAACGGTACCCAAAAGTTTGAAATCGGTTGACTGGGTTAGACACAGTGATCATTGGAAAGAAGGCCATATTTTGAAATTTTAAAGGCCGGCCAAGGCCAAGATGGCGGCCAAATCAAAAAGTGGCGGAACAAAAAAGTCTTAGTTTTTGATATAGTTCAATGCCTGAAAGTTTGAAAAAGATCGGACAAAAAGTACGGACAGACGGACGGACAGAAAAAATATTATCTTAAAATAATTGGTGGAGACGCCAAAGAAAATTTTCAAATGGCCATAACTCATGAACGGATGGTCCGATTTCGACGTTCTTGGGCTTGTTGGAAAGGTCTCGACGAGTAGACTCAGAAAATATATGATTCAAGATGAACGTGCCGCCTTCAACACCCGGTAAATGGGAAAAACTGATAATTGTACATAATTTTCAAGTGGCTATTTCTATGGAGGCGGTTGGTCGATTCCCAAGTTTGAATGCATTTTCTGGGCCTATGAGCCAGGGGCTTTCTAGCGATACTTCATTCATACCAGATGGCCTCTTAGGAAAAAAGTTCGAAATTGCGTGTATATATAGGCGAGTTCGACTTTCAGCACAGAGGTGCTTTCGTCACTCGCGCCTGCTGTCGCCGGCTGTGATTAAATGAAATTTTTGTGTTTTCACTTGTTTTCATCAACATGAATAACTGCGACAAATGTCACTTCATGTTGTCATTGAAACAATCGGAACGTGGAACGTCAACAAATGAACTGACATTTGTTCGCAATTCTTTAGTTACTCTTGTGTTGACAAAAACACGCAAAAACACGAGAAAAATGTTTGATTTTACGTTTTAAAATAACAAGATTAAATTGAAAAAAAAAATTTGCGCTTTTTAATAAAAATAAACTCAAAATATTTCTTGAGAACAGAAAATCGCTCAATAAGCAATTGACACATGTATATATTTGTATACAAGCTTTTGAATTTGACGTACGTTTTGCTTGTAGTACTTGTTCTTGCACCAGTTGGCGTTGACGTAAGAAGGCATAGCGTCGAATTCGTACTTAGATAAATGAATGGTGCTCCATTCTCATTATAAATATTGTGCTTTATTTCAATGCTTTTTTGAGCTTTGTTTTTTGGCAATATTTGAAGATTTTTTTAGCGCGTTTAAAGTTGGGTTGGATGGAGCAAGCAGGCCTTCTTGATCCACCCTTTCTAGTTTTCCGAAAGATACTCATCGTCAGAAAGTTCAAAATCACCCAAAAGGATGTTACTTAATCTTTGATTTGTACGATTATCATTGCGCTGTGGAAAACGATTCTGGTTGGGTTGCTGTTGATTAGCCATTTGATCGGACCAGTTCCGATTTTGATTGTTATTGGAATTATTGTTAGGATTGGGATTATTACGACGCTATGCCTTCTTACGTCAACGCCAACTGGTGCAAGAACAAGTACTACAAGCACAACGTACGTCAAATTCAAAAGCTTGTATACAAATCAATACATTTGTGCAATTTTTCTTCGTTCTTCGAGCGTAGTCATTTGCAATTCCAGCAATCGACATTCATATGGTGGTTTTTTGAACTTGTGTGACCATTTTATTTTTCTTAGTGCATATAGTAGAAATTGCTTTTGAATTGATTCGATTCTGGCAATTTTCTCGTCAGTATATGGGCACCATATTTGTGATCCGTATTCAATAATCGGTAATACGAATGTGAAAAAGAGTCTCTTTATGGTCCAAGGATCATTGAACTCTCTTCCGAAGCGTTTGATCCATGCTAGTCTTGACTTAGCTTTGGCAGTTATGTATTCGATGTGTGGTGTAAAATTCAATTTTTCATCCAAAACCACTCCGAGGTCCTTTATTATTTTGACTCTCTCAATCGGAACGCCTCCGATGGAGTAAACATAAGTTAACTTCAATTTTCCACGATGATATGACATAAGTTTCGTTTTGTTGACGTTCAATGCCATACGGTTTCGTTTGAAGTACTCAACAATTCTGTTTAGATCTTCTTGCAGTGCTATACAATCCTCAATTCGATTTATTTGCATCGAGAAGCGTGTGTCATCGGCAAATGATTGTAGATTCGAATTGACCAAGTAGTGTGGTAAATCAATGATGAACAAGATGAACAATGTCGCGCCGATCGGATATCCTTGACCAGTTCCCGATGTTACTTCTAAAGGATAAGACATGATTTCATTTAATTTTACAATTTGTTCACGCTTACTGAGGTATGATTTGATCCAATTTAGCAGCTGTTCATTCAGTCCCATACTTTTCAGCTTATGTATGAGCAGGTTTATGTCAACTGAGTCAAAAGCCTTTGCAAGATCAAGATAGATTGCTTCAGATTGAATCCCATGTTCCATGTTGATCAGTGTGGGTGAGGTGAATTCAACCAAGTTCGTAATTGTTGACCGTCCCTTTATGAAACCATGCTGGCTATCATCAATGATGTTCTTTATGTGATAATTCAGATGGCTTGCTATAATTGAATCCAAAAGTTTTGGTATTATGCATTGCAGGGCGACTCCACGATAATTTTCGATTTTGTATTTTGATCCACTTTTATGCACAGGTCTCACATAAGATTGTTTCCATGCGATCGGTACATTTCCAGTATTCAACGATTCGTGCAATATGTGAGTTATTGGCTTCAATAATGAAAGCATGCATTTTTTGATGAGTAGATTTGGTATTCCGTCGGGACCAGACACCAAATTGTTTGGTAGCTCATTCATTTTTTTCATGACTAATTCCTCATCGATTTGAATAGGTGGAATGTTAGCACATCGGTCCAACAATATGGGATCATCTTCACGATAACTTGCTAATGAGTTCTTCTAATGAAAGGGTTTTAAATGTTAAATGTCCCTCAAACAAATATTCAACAATTCTGTTACGTTTGGCAATTACTTCTTTTGTTTTATACGACGCTATGCCTTCTTACGTCAACGCCAACTGGTGCAAGAACAAGTACTACAAGCACAACGTACGTCAAATTCAAAAGCTTGTATGTAATTCATTCATATACATGTGTCAGTTGCTTATTGAGCGGTTTTCTGTTCTCAAGAAATATTTTGAGTTTATTTTTATTAAAAAGCGCAAAGTTTTTTCTTTTTTGTCAATGAATTTGCAAAACTCATTGTATTTTTCTGTGTTTCGGTCTCTACTAAATTGTAAATTTCTAACTACCAACAGGGTAGACTTGTTAGATTAGACGTAAAACTGTTCTTCAATATATCACTTCTTTGATAAATTGATTGATGACTTTTGCAGTCATAAGGCCAAAACTACAATGTTAACGCCTCCACTGGCCTTTCATTTTGGATATTTAGGTTAGGCTTTGTTGAATCGTTTACATTTCGGCTTCCTACTCATGTCCATGTATTGCTTAGGTTATTTTGTGTTAAAATGTTT